ACACCCCGCTTCATAAGAGAGAGGGCGGTTGGCCATTTGAGACGTGCTGCAAGAGAGCGGCCAGGAGTTTCCATCAAAACGCACAAAGTACTTGTAGAGAGCCGTCAAAGTCTGCAGTCAAGAGAGTACTTGTTGAAGAAACATTCCCGCAAAAAAAACTTCTGCCGCGGCTCCGGGTCGCTGTGGTGTGCCTGTCGCAATGTCTGAAAGCTTCCATGGCGTGGAAGGCAATGTCATCTTTAACTGGATTGCAGCATGGCTCCAAGCTCTTGCAATTGTTTGGAAACGGTTGTGTGCCAAGCATGATGCTTCTGTGCCATTCTGGGACGCGGCTCGAGGACGTGTTACCTTCGATTTAGGACATGTGTTGCGCGGTAGCAAATCCGAATCCCCCCCCATCCCGTGGACAAAGCTGCCATCGAGAAAGAAGCTGGCGGTCAGAAATGATTATTTGCACAGGGAATGCGCGGACACATAAATTCTTGCTCCGGGCCATGCGAGTCTTGGAGACTGAATTTCCGAAGGTGCTGCGAAGAAGGCGAAAGCGCTGAAGCAACGCGGGTTCAAGCTAGTCAAAGAGCGTTGCGTGTTCACATTTTGCCCTGGCTTGTCTATTGCCTGGACGTTGTTCAACGCCTGGCCGGTTCACACTTTCATGACATGCTTTGTACAGTTCTGGCAAAACCCACGTTTTGCAGGCTTCACGAGGATTGGTTGATTTTGCCTCGTTTGCTTTGTGTGCAATGTTTGCATGGAGCCCCTACACCACCCAGCCTGTATCCAATTTGTTCCCCGCCATGATGGAGCCGGTGTCCCCAGTGCGTATTTTGTCGACAGGAATCCCGGAGGCAGCATGACAAAAGAGCTCGGGTCATGAGGCAGTAAGAGCTCTTGTACCTCCGCATCAAGCTTCGGCAGTCAGTAGGGAGAGAAGTATCAACAGTTTGAAGAAGTAAGACTTAAAGTGAGCGGTACACGAATTCCAGCAAGAGTTGTGCGCCGTTGGATGCCACAACTGACGTGAGGTTCTTGTCGGAGCTTTTTGTTAGACTAGAGCTCTCTCAAACTCGACGCATGTCTGCAATTAAGGGTTTGATTTTGCATCGTAGAAAGGGCACCCTGCACGCATGATTCTTACATACGCCCAACCATGTCCAGAAATCAAGGAAACTACCCATCGCATCGGCGATTCGTGCTTCGAAGCACGCTCGCGATGGTATTGGCATTCTTGTTTGGCTGGGTTCTGTCGGGTTGTCGGGAGCTTGATTTGAAGGTGGTGAGTTGTGTAGTGTTGATAGTGACATGGAATATAGTTCTCTAGATTGATGATGTTCCGCATGTGCAAGGATGAACTTGCAGCAGCAACAACAACAGCAGCAGCATCAGATTGTGTCACCACCGGCATTCAGCATTCACTGACAGCAGCCCTCAACAAACACGGGGGTAATGTTGTTGCAACACCGGGAGCGTCTGCCCACGCAGCCCCGTAGGCTGCCACACCGTCGGAAGCTCGGTGGCAACAGGGACGACCTGGCGAATAGCAACCTGGTCGTCGCCGTCACCCGGGCCCGTGGTCGCCCTGTAAACATTCGACGACGGCCCAAACCACATCATGAGCCCGCGAGCAAATGGCAGTATGTCTGCAGGAGGGACGTGCGGGCGAAGCGGCACACAAAAAAAGAACAAAAACCAGGCGCTCTTTAGAAATCGGGGAGGCGCTTGAGCTTGCAGAGAAGGTCGGTCTCAGTTTCAAGGCGATCAGCGGCCTGGGTTTTGACGCGGTGACCACTGGGCACACCCAGAGCGACACAGCCAAGCTGCGCCGGGGACAGGTTTCCACACCGGGCCCAAGTCGTCGATGCCGGGTGGTGCATCCCCGATTGCCGCGTTGTAGATTACATTCGCGTCTTGCCCACGTCTGCCTCGATCCCGGCGCCTCGATCGCTCACGAGTGATGACATGCAGTAGCGGCGCTGCCCGTTCCGGCACGATGACGACGTACACGTCGTCCAAACAAGTAGCAGGCACCCATCGGGCCTCAGAGAAGCGCTGTCTTAATCAAGCGCGAAGAGCCCCGGTGCGATGAGTCCCCCTTCTCGATGCCTTCAGTTTGTGGCATCTATGATGCACTCTCCCCTCGCTGTCCCGCCACAAGTAAGTGGCGGTAGTAAGTGGAGGTGCCCGCACTCATAGCCAATGGCCTTCCATTCTTGGGGAACGCCCCGCTCACCTTTGACACCACGCTCGTCTCCCCGGGGGGAATGGGGGTGCCCGGCCGCTACCTTTGTCCGCCTGTTTGCAAGTTGCCGGGCGCCCTCTGCACCACCGCCTTCATGCGCTGCCGCCATCTCGGCTTCCACGCTCCGGTGGTCTGCGCTCCTTTCCTTCGCGCTGTCCTTGCCCCAATCTGGCACGGCCAATGTCGACGGGGAGTTGCCGCTCCTGAGTGCCATCCTCGCCGAATCACCTTCCCCAACCTCTGCTCGCTAGCCGCATGCTGTGAACGTGCCCTGGGTGTGACCTTTTGCCGTTGACTGTCGCCTTGGCTTTGGGCTACTGCACTGGGACCGCGTTGGACGTCGGCAAAAAGGTTCGTGGGGCAAAAAACACATCAGCCATACAGAGCTGACGAAGCTTTCTCAGAAGTGTCACATCCAAATGCAGCCGTCAGCAACGGAAGGGAAACAAAGCTGGGCTCCAGACATCCTCGCATGCCATCGCAGCGCATCAGCAATGTAGGAGAAACAGAGATTCGTGCTGCGAGCGCGGCATCGCAGCAACTTTTTCCTTATGGCCTACACAACGCCATGCACCCACGACCGTATGCTGACATTTACGGCGCCGTAGTCTGTGCTGTGGCACACAAGACCCAACAACTGATTCGCGCATAAGCTTGCACCCACGTGCGTCGCACCTAGGCCGGAGGCGCCTTCGTGCCAGCTTCAGATCATAAGACACGCTTCAACCCTAACGGCCCCGACGGCTTCACCACCGGGCCATACCGATGGAAAGACTCGTAGTCATAGTCCATCTCGTGGTCATGCGATGCTTTCTTACAGAAAGAGTCCCCCTGGGCTCTTGATGGCAATCCTCCGAGCGGACATAAGATATAAAGACTGTTCGCTGCATCGCTAGAACTTATAAGACCTATAAGGTGTCGGAAGTGTTTTTTGCCTCTCTGCCTCGCGCTTTCCAAGGTTTCGCAGGGCACCACTCTTGCCACCATGGGGATGCATTCATTATCGTGCATTGTAGCAATAGCGACCTCAGCCGTACTGGGCCAAAACCGTCTGTATGGTGGACACCGCGCTGCTGCAGGTGTGCAGTGCACTCAGAAGGAGCTCAACTTGCGATGGCACATCCGACAGTGGAATGGTTCCGCGGCTCGTGGTCGAAGCCGAACGCATCTTATCGACCAGATGAAGGAAAGTCTGCTTCCGGGACCCCACTGCTGCCAAGAGACCGGACAACCTTCGAGTGCTGGCATTGTGGGCGACATTCCCGTGCGGAGAAGCCGCTGATCTCAAGGCATCAGATCCTCTCTCAAGGATCTCCTGTCGAAGATCTGCGGCATCGCCAGATGTGGTGGAGCTCGCGGACTGCAGCTTCCGGCTATAAAGATCCTTCAGCATAACCTGTATGCTGTGAGCTCTGATGTGAAGAAGTTCTCCATTTCCAACAAAAGCGACTCGACGTCCTTTCTGTCTGACAGGAGGGACGATGCAGTCTCTGAGGACTCGGCAATCATTGCGAACAGCCACTCCAGGCTCCTCATTGGAAGATCCATCCATGTTGGACGGTTCTGCCTTATCCTTCTTCCCACTGTTCAAGCCCATTACCCTGGAAAGCAATCCCATCGACTTTTGCAGAGCGTTCTGCAGCTGGTACTGTGAAAGGCTTCGTGCGCTTGAGAACAGTACCAGATGCAAAACTAACATGATCGCTCCTCCGAGAACTGCTGCCTTCACGCTCGTGGCCAAAGACAGTTCGGCCCCAACGTCAATTGAAGAATTGTACTCTCGGAAGACGCCACTCGGAGGCACCAAGGCATAAACTCCGATCGCCAGAACAGGAAGCGCAACTCCAGCGTTGGCCTTCGAATGAAGGATTTAGCACAAAGGCGAAGAGCCAAAGCCACATGGCGAACAAGGATGCGTGAAACTCCGACTTCACTGCAAGGACTTGGCCCAAAGAGTGCCCCAGCACGGTGCCAACGACCACGGCATTCAGACGCCGTGAGATCAAGCCAGGGAGAATCCTGCTCCTGTTGTAGTGGAAACAACCGTTGCGACAGTAGCTGCGGCTCCAGAGGTATATGCATTCAGCATGCGCTCCAGTCCAACCATGTCTTTTATGACGCGGAAGGCCTCGCGCACGGGGTGCAACAAGGGGAAGGAGGAGAGCAAGGCGACCCATTGATGCCGTCGTTGTTCGCCTTAGGCCAACACCAAGCACCAGTCGAGGCCAGATCCCGGCTGCACCCGTCGAACACTTTTGATGCATTCCTCGACGATATTTACGTCACGGGAACCCCCTGAGCAAACGGACGGGGAACTGGGCCCTCCCAACTGCCCAGCAAGGCGTGGTGGTCCTGGGCAGCCCCGTTGGCAGCCGCGACTTCATCGCCGCGAATCTCGCCCAACCCGCCTGTTGCTGCGGATCCCGCGGGTGCCTGAACTGCAGTCCGCGTGGCTCCTTCTGCTTTGCTGCGCAGCACCCCGCAGCACGTACTTACTACGAACCCTTCCGCCGGCAGACACCGCAGGCTTCGCTGCCAAGCACGATGCCGCCATCCGGCGCTGCCTGGCGCTTCCTGCGCTCCGAAGGCTTCTCAACGCCAACATGGGCGAGACTGCTGGAGGAAGATGCGGCGGCACCAGCTCCACACCCAAAACGACCTGCTCCAGGTGGAAGACCGGGTTGGCAATATGCGGCATCGAAAGCGCTGGACAAGCGCGCGCTCAAGACGCTCTTCAACAACATCGACCACACGTCTCGGGCGCTGCTGCTGGCGATGCCGCGAGCTGCGCCTTCACGGCCCTCCCAACGAGCGCCGACACCCAGGTGCCGGACGCAGAGTACCGAGTCATGCTTTCCGCAGACTCCGTTTGCCCCTCCCTCTCGCCCCGCAGCGCTGCCCTTGTGGAGGAGGAGGTTCGGTCCTTGAACAACCGTTTACGGTTAGTATGTACGAAAGAAGACAGCACCTGCATTGACCGGCAAAATCCACTAGACATATGAGTTTAACGCATAAGCGAAAGCGCCTTAGAGATAAGAATCAGGGCTATCGCGTCCGCAAGCCTTCACACAAGGATCTGGCGGTTTGACAGATGGCTGCCACATAATGCACATGGGCACTGACAGCAGAATGATTGCTTGTCACGAGAATGGGATCAAAGATCCACCGCAGCAACTCAACATCACCAAGCTGAGGCACACGTTGTAAGCGCAAGTGTTCTAACCAGGTGCGGCGCTGAGTGTCAAACAGCGGACACACGCGAATGGCATGCAGGAACGTGCTTCGGGGAGCACCGCAGAGACACTCGGGACCATGCCGCTGAGCGTGCCGGGCAATCCTGCCATCCTGAAAAGGATGATGACCACAACGCGCTAACGTCCACTCCCGAAGCACGGACGACGGGAGCCGCGAGGAATGAATGTTGTTGCCACCGTGCAAGCGAGGCTGAAACACAGCATAGTCTGCGAGAGACGGCATTGCCATCAATTCCCCACAATACTGTGACTGAGCCCGATGCAGCAACACCGGTCGCACGGCATGCCGACTCCAATGCGCCACCTGCCTTGCATCCCCGCCAGGCACCAGGCTCCATGAACGGGGGAGTGGAACACCAGCATCCCGCAATCGTTGCGAAACACCATGCGCCCACGAACCCGGGCGCTGCAAAGCAAAGCTGAAGACACGTGCTGCGAGGCTGCGACGAGCATTTGAGGCATCAGCAGTAGCCAGGAGTCCGAAGAGATCAAACTGCAACCGTTGCACTTCAAACACATAAGGCCACCAGCCGAGTTCACCCAGAACTGCAGCATTCGGTGCACCGCGGGGCCAGTGCAGCAAGCGACGCTCCCATTGGCGAAGCTTTTGGTCCAAACGAGCTAATTGCCCAGAGTCAAGAAAATGTGCTCCATAAAGGATGGTGGGCAAGACATACGTTTGAAACAACTGGCTACGGATGCCTGTGTGCAATTGGCGATTCTCAGCCCAACCCAGAAATTGGTGGAATCTGCGATTGCCGGTGTCCATAAGACGAGCTGCATGCTTATGCCATTTGCGCGATGCCGCAAACGTCACGCCTAGGTACGTGTACTGGCGTACACAAGGCAAGAGAGAGCCATGAAGCATGAAACGATACTCAATCGACCTGCAACCGACAACGGAGGACGCTTGGATGTGTACGGCGACCATCGCTCGGCCTGCGCCCAGGTGGGCGTGCTGGCCCGCCGAGCTGGCCCCCTTGAGCGAGCGGCAGCAGGCATCTGCAAGGAGGCGGGAGCCCGAGTGGCATCGCACGTCGCCCTCCGCGACCCGCGACCGCAACCTTGACGTACCAGCGGGCGACGGACGCCGCATGGAGGTGGTCGTCAATGGCCTCCCTATTTGGCAAGGGGCTCAAATCGCGGTTGACGCCACAATCGTGAGCCCAGTTCGCCGGGACGGCCAGCCCCGCCCACGGGCTGACCACGCAAACACCGGTCTCCCCTTTCTATCCCGAACCCCGTCAGGGTTGTTTGTTTTTTCCGCACACGTCTTTTTCCTCGCCAGTGTTTGCTTCGCGGCTACACGACCTAGTCAGCGTCTAGCTCCTACGCCAGCCGGCTAGGGCCTGTTAGCAGGCTGCCCGCCAACAGTTCACCCAACGGCACCTCTTGGTCGTCGGTTGGGTCACTGGGCCCTGCGATGGGCAGCTCAAGGAGCGAGCAGGCGTGTGCCCGGAGCGTTGCGAAGGAGGCCAGTGCTTTCCAGCGCTGGTTGAGGGCTTGTCGAGCGGCTGCGGCGCAACACAACACGAGTTGCTTCCAGCCTCGACGGCCTCAACGGCGCTGCTGAAGTTGGGCCGCTGGGGCGACGAGTTCCACCGTACCTTGCTCCGGCTCCGGATGCAGCGCGCCCCGCCGTTCTAGCGCGCTGCAGCCCAGGGCTGGGCCCGCCGTTGGTGGGGCGTGGTGCCGGCGGCCTTGCAGCGAGCCGTCGCCAGGTCCGCGCTTGGCGCGTGGTCCATGCCGCCGCTGCCTGGTGCGCCAGACGTGCTCGCGCTGGGTGACTTGCTGGATTTCGCCACTGCGAGGGCCCCCAGTCGGCTGCCACTTGGCCAGTGCTCCGTAGGAGTCTGGGTAGCTGACGGCAATGGAACACATTGCGCGGATGCATGCGGACGCAACAAGGCGTGAAGAAAAACGGCAGTTCCAAGCTCGCACGACGTCTAGCGAGGCCAGGGTGGAAGCAAACGGGTCAGAGCCAATGGCATGGCAAGTGAGGCGCAGACCAAATTTAAGTAAGGTTTGCAGGAGGCCGGTGGAGTGGTGGGTCACATTGCCGGGTTGCAACAAGGCGTTATTGACACCGAAAAGGTTAAAACTAGCTAAAGCTTCCTGCAGCCGCAGACCTTGCAGTGTATCGGAATCGGTGTGTCGGGAGGGGCGAGCACCCGGCCCAACGTCAGGGGTGCGAGAGGAAAAATGGACAGGAGGGAAAGAAGAAGCCGAAGGGGATGGAGGCGGGACCCGAAACTTGGACACCTTACAAGATCTGACAGGGACTCGGACCCTCGTTTGCAGTGGTAAAAGGGTGTGTGGAAAACAAAATTTATTTGATTTTGTGTTTTTGCCGTTGCGGAACAACAAATAAGAACCGATGTTCATGTCGTGGCTCTTGCATGCCGCAGGTCAACAGCGAGGCCCTCATGCTACACCAATGATGAATCTGCACATCACAGTTACTGGCCCGACAACCGCAACAAGTTGAATCAGAGTGTATATATTGTTTGGACGCACCTTCAATATTACTAAATTTCATGTTTTTTTTGTCGCCATGGCATGAAGCCGATGGAGGTTTACACAGTGGCAGACGTGGCACACCATACGCAGCCAAACGACCTGTGGGCTGTTTGCCTGCAGTCAATCGTTCATTTGTTCCAGGGTTGTTGCCAAGAGTAAGCTGACAGCAGGTGTAGCGTGACAATGCGTGATCAGGTGATATTGAACAACAAAGCGTCTTGGTTCATCTTGGAGTTGGACCGTCGCATGAGCACAGACCTCACATCAGAAGCTCATGGGTGTGGCATTTCAGGTTTATGATGTTACACACTGGCATGCCTTCCATCCTGGTGGATCCACCGTCCTCTTGAAGTATGGAGGAAGGGATGCCACAGCAGCAAGCGGCTTGACGTCAAGATGGGTGCCATGCAAAGGCCAGCTTCAGAAATCCAAGTCAGCCCGGCCAGTAAACATCACCGTCAGTGGGTTCGAGGAGTTCATCATTGCGTAAAAATCGGGAGCTCATTTGGACACTTTGCCTTTTTCAACATTCCACTATTCAGGAGTCATGCGTGCAAAGCTTTTGAATCGCAGACAGGAACCGCCGACGACGACGACGACTACTACCAGTATCACTACTGCTATTACTGCTACTACTACTACTACTACTACTACTACCACGACTACGACTACTACTTTACTACTATAACTACTACTATTAGTCTTACTACTACTCTTACCACCACCACCGCCACCACCACCACCACCACCACCACCACCACTACTACTACTACTACTACTACTATGACTACTGCGGCTACTACTACTGCTACTACTACTACTACTACTACTTCTACTAGGACTCGGGCATGGAGGACGCTGACCTCGCTAAAACAGCGTGTAGCGGCAGTTTTCTTGCACCGGGACCGTGTACTTTCGCAGCAAAAAGGTGCGTGTGTGAAAAAACAAAAAACTACTACTACTACTACTACCACTACTACTACTACTACTACTACTACTACTACTCCTATTACTACTACTGCTATTACCACCACCACCACCACTACTACTACGACTATTACTACTTCTACTACTACTATTACTACTACTACTACTACTGCTACTACTACTACTACTACTACTACTACTAACTACTACTACTACTACTGCTGCTGCTGCTGCTGCTGCTGCTGCTGCTGCTACTACCACTACTACTTCTACTGCAAGCGCCGTTATTTAAATTGCATTAGTTTTCCAGCCGGCCGGGACATTCATTACAATCGC